CAAGAGTTGAACATGAAATTGCCAATCGCTGGTGATGTGTTCACGGTAGCCACTGACGTCAGCGATGTCGGGATCGGTGCGGTGTTGAAACAAAACCATGGGACGATTGAGTATGCCTGCCGAACTTTGACACCTGCGGAACGCAAATACTCAACCATAGAGAAAGAATGTCTCGCAATTGTCTGGGCTTTAGATAAATGGCGGCCATATCTCCTGGGTCAGCGATTTCACATCGAAACAGACCACAGACCGTTGGAGTGGATTAAGTCTGCCAAAGACCCCAGAGGAAAGCTGGCGAGATGGGCATTGCGCCTACAAGAGTATGACTTCATGATAAAACACGTGCCGGGGAGGGAAAATCAAACGGCGGATTTCTTGTCACGCATGATAGATGATGATGACCTGCCGAGTGTAGATTTCGGTATTAACGGATAACTGTGCGAGCAGGATCCAGAACGGTTGGCAACTGAGCAACGTAGTGACAAACTCCTGCGCAAGCTGATCACCGCGCGATTAGCTGGTCAGACAAACCAACAAAAACCAACTTAAGCAACTGGGACCGTTTTCAAAAGGTGGAGACTGGGAGGAAACATTGCCGCTACTGTTGCTGGCCCATCGAGCAACCAAACAGGCTTCCACAAAGAAATCACCATTCCATTTGATGTACGGTTTACAACCTCGTCTACCTGTAGATCTAGAGATTGGAATGTGGCCAACTTGCCGTATATCTCCTGAGGAGACACGGAATAACCTGGAAGACCGCCAACCGCAACCTACAGACGGCTCAAGCGCGGAGGATGGCGAAGTTCCAGACAAGCAAAGGTGGAAGGAATATCGAGTTTCAGATTGGTTCGAAAGTGAAGTACTGGGACCATCAACGCTATCCCACTTGCGGCCCAGCGGAGCGGAAACTTCTAGCGAAGTGGAAAGGACTGTACGAGGTAGTCGACCGGCGAGGCACAGTGTATACAATCGCTCGGCAAGGTGAATCGCGGAGGGTGAATGCCGGCGAGCTGAGGAAGTGGTACGAATTGGTGGAGGAAACACGCTCATACAATGAACATCCCCGGCAGTCAGAAAGACTCCGACGGAAGGCAGCTGACGCGAGTGCTTTGGAGGGGGAGGAGTGTGGTGGATTAAAGGTAGCTACTACTGCGCCGGGTATAGGTAGTGTGGTGGTGCAAGATGACATACCAACAGCGAGCCCTGCCGACTTCCCCAAAGTTGAAGATGACCTCAAGCTTACAGTTCTATGCGCACGAGGAGTAAACACAGAGGCAAGCACCAGTTGGGGAACACTCCATGGAGATCACGCAGATGAGCGGACGCCTCCAAGGTATGGACGAGCACACATAGTGTAAGCCACTTTAACAATAAACAATTACCACCTGTCACTTGGGTTCTAACAAGCTTCCTATCCGCGTCTCGAAGGCAGCGGCGGCATTCGGGAAACTAGAGTACTGAGTGTGGAATAACCATCGGATTACTTCCGGCACAGAGCTGATGGTGTACAAATCCACGGTGTTGTCCGTTCTTCTATACGGCGGCAAAACTTGGGCGATGTACCAGCGAGACGTGAGATATCTCGAGCGATTTCATCAACAGTGACTGCGACGCATGTTGCGTATCGGTTGGTCCGACAGAGTTGAAGACACAGAAGTGTTGTGCCAAAGTGGAATATATACAGTGGACTGCATACTTTTGCTGAGACATTTGAGATGGCTCGGCCATGTTTTGCTTATGGATTCGACGCGGAAACCGAAAAAGCTATTCGCTGGTCAAATGAGTTTGGAGAAGCGGCATGAAGGGAAACCGACGCTTCGTTATCAGAACATGATCAAAGGGAGCCTGTCACGTTCTAATGTTGATTTCAGAAGTTAGGAATCGATGGTGCTTGATCGGCGTGCATGGCGCGATCTGATCACGGAGGACGTTTCCGAGCTGCAAGAGAAGTCCCTGGTGAATGTAGAAAAGAAGCGGCTATTGCGGAAACGACATGCACTGATGGGTTGTACACCATAGACATCGAGCACATGGTGCTGTAGCACATGCGGTCACGAGTGTCTGAGTCAGGTAGGTCTCGTTAGCCACGAGCAAGGCCACTCAGGATCAACATCGAACAGACGAAGAGTCCTGCTGAGAACGTAAGCAAAGCCGGCCCAGCGTTTGTAGGTACACTGCATTTGATTTATTAACCGCGTGCTTGCTTGCTGAGTTTCTTTATTTCAGGTGATTGGTTTGCTATGTTTTGTTAACGGTTACTTTGTTAAATCCCTTATATGTCCGACTGAATACTCTTCTGTTTACTTTTACACGTCGCTTAAGCAACTTTTGGTTAACTTAGTTAACCTTTTCGCGTTGGTGGAATTTTATAAAATATATTTGTCTGACATTTTGAACTTATCGCGAATTTGTTGCTAACCAAGTTACTGCGTATGCTCATTTAGCGAAGAGTTAAGTCGGTATATCCGTATGTTTTATTCGATAACTATTATTTGCTATTATCATTTCAAGTGACTGGCTGTTGTTTGACATCCCCGGTGTGGCTGCGCCTGATGTGTGTGTTGACAAGGGGCCTACCTGACAGACACCCATCACCCCATTAATGGATCTAGGAGAATGTGAAACGTTTCTGGGTGGGACGGGGTGCACGGTCTTTGTGGCCGTGCTAGGCTTGAAGATTGATTACATGCACTCAGTGTGGAGCGGACTACGGTTCAGCCACCGCCTTGTGTGCACTTGATTCCCAAATACAGCATGCTTGTGTTTGCCTGTGAAGGAGTGTGGGCCGGCTCCGTTGATGAAACGTGGCTCCCGTCCATATGCCTCCTGGCCTTATTCTTTTGAGTTTATACTACGTATGCGGTATGTGGTTGGAGGTGTGGTTGGTTTAGCGCAAGCCACCCATGGTCTCTCTGTAGGCGCAGTTGTCCTGTGGCTGTTTCTGTGGAGGCCACAGAGACAGGTAAATCCGGAACTGGATGCCGCTAACCATGTTAGGCATGTCTCATTTTATTCACTGTCAATTCCATGTTAACTGGAGTGCGAAAAACTCCCTTTGAGCCGCACATTCTCATTCTGCGGTACTTTGTTCCACATAAATGCCTAGCGGTTGGGAAAGAAATTACTTCTTAGTCAAGCTCGTGTTTTTTATTTGTAACGGGTTGTGTTTGTTCCTCATAATGTACATGTGCAAGGTTTGTATTGCCATCTCGTTGTCTGAACTAAAGACGCGTTTGTGGATTATATCAAACATAACTTTTGGTCCCCTTACCCATAATGGTTCTTTGTTCATCTGACAGCAGCAGTCATAGTAAGATTATCCGTTTCTCATTAGGCACTTCGTAATGGAGCGCTGTACATTTTCTATGGCAGTTCTGCCACTTTTTCTCAGGTTGAAGTATCTTAATGGGCAATATTCTAATAGGGGACTAATACGAGTTCCATATAGTTAGATTTTAGGTTCATTTAAAACAAAAGCTTTTAGTATTAGTCCTCCTACTTAACAGGCCTTTGCAATGGTATACTGCACCTGTTCGGTGTAAGTGAAATAACTCGAGTGGTGCGGCCAAAGATCACGAATTGTGAGACAGTTGAACAATGTTTACCGTCAAGCATCAAAGAAGTTGGTGCAACACCGCACCGATTGTATATGCAGCTGCACTCATGGGATGAGACTTCGATGTTCCAATTTCTGCATCAAACTTCTAGGTTGTGCAAATCCGCTCGCATGTTGGCTAGGACATTAATGGTATTGTCCGAATCGGAGTCATAAACACTTTTAATGCCTTCGGGGAAAACATTTTTTGCCATGTTTGATGACATGAAGGACATTGTTAAGGTTCAGCAAAAACCAAATTGGCCCAAGAACACTTCCTTTTATCATGCCACTTGTGACTTTTCTACTTGTGGAAGTATTGCATCGTATTTCGACTGCTTAAAGTCGAACAGAAAGCTTCGATGATATCCAAGAGCTTAGATCGCCAATTATACCGAAGGAATGTACTTTCGATAGAAGCCAGCTGTCGATGTTTTGGATTTTTGTTCGTGCTGTCGGCCATTCAGATCCATTGTATTTGATAACCTATCTAAATACTCTAGGATATGGCAGCAATAGTGAACTCAGGTAATGTAGTCGTCAAGCCGCAAACAGCGCAGACGGCCACTGGTTATGAACGAGCCACGTGTTGCCACCGTCTAAGTGTAGATCGGCTTCTCTGACCACTTGTATTGATGGTGCGATAGCGACTGGCGATTAACAGACCAACGAAAGTAACTGCATTGAAACGAGTAAGTGTCGTGTCATGGGCTGATAAACCGAACAATGTGAATGGGACCAGTTCTGAATACACTTCCAGGAATATCTGCCTGAGTTCAAGCAATATGCGTGAAGTGGCCGAGGCCGAGAAGTGCAGCGGATATGAGTGCGACTAAGTCAATGTTTACAAAATGACCAAGAATATGTCTGAAAGAAGATTGTGCCGCTGGCTTAACTAACACGCACACTACGACTAGTTATTGATGCGCTGAGCGAGTCATGAGTTACGTTTTACCACAGCAGCCACTTTGATGCCACTTTTCGGGCACCATCTACACACTGCGTATGCAACAGGGCATCCTTTTTGCACCCAACCGAAGTTTCCTTCAGAAACGGTTAACCTGGAAATCATGTACACTTCCGCAAGCGTGTTAACTAAGACCAGATTTAAATACTCAGATGACATTATTCTCCTGGTGTGTAGAAGCTCTCTACACTTGATCTAACCAGAGGCGGACCATCCCAAGGGTGGACCAACAGAAGATTAGTTTGCCCTGTTGGCGTGTAAAATGTTCCACACACAGAAACAAGTGCCAGATTAAGGTAGCATACTTAAGCATATCGGTCTCTAACTGCGTGTTTCGATTTTCAGCTTTTCATACAGTTCATGCTTATCTTATTTTTCGAATCACTGTATGGAGTTTAGTCCCGTCACTTACCTAACTTCGCCTGATGTTTGTAGGTTATGGAGAACCTTCGTCATTGCGTTGCAGGATTCCCTCCGGCAAAAATGACTGAAAGCGAACGCTACTTTTACTGTTCGGTTTTATAACTTTCTGATGCTCCGTCCGATGAAGTACGAGTCACCAAAGCTGTTCATCACAGAAGTGGCTCGAACCGATGCATACGAGTATCAGGAGGTTGTTGTTCGTTGTCATACTGTTGATTTTTAATGTACAGATGAAAGTATGTGGAAAGCATTACATTTTTGGTTTTCATCCCGTGTGATGAGCAATATTTTGAGAAAAATCAAGCAATCTTCATTTCAGTGCACGAACTTTCCCTCTTTTCCACCTTGTTCAAAATAACAGTTTGAGCATCAGGTGTCATAAAGTAAGGTACTGCTGAAATATCTCTGTCTGGTTCTTTTAGATTCGCACATAGATCAATCATAGTATCAGTTTTAAGATTGCGCCTATTAGCATTAAAAGTTTCTACAGGGTTCTCAAATTAGTTGTAGTCTCCCGATGTCACTGACAATAGTTTAGCGAGAGCCCAAATAGCCATTCAAAAGGCAGATGGAGTTACAGCAAAACTTTTATTTACACAGCAAACGATTCCCTGTTTGTCTGTCTATGAAAAACGGCACCTTCAACGCTGCAAGCTAGAGAGAACGAAGAATGATAGCATAGAAGAACGATCGCGCGTTGCAATCGAAACGAGCGCCACGAAAAAGATCGCGTTGGATCAAAGTGACTGAACTCAATAGGCATTTCAGCATTCAGCACCTGTCGCCTAGGTGTACACTGAAATAATACTTTGCATTTGGATTGTATACAAGCAACGTGCGCAATCTCTAAGCTGTTGTAAAAGTGGCCAATGCTACTTAGCAAAGACGGGACACAATATCAGCTTCGTGACAAATCCTAGTCTGTTGTGATGACTCGCTACCACACTGTGGTGATAAGATACCATATCAGGCATGTTGGTTGCCTATCGAACGGGCGAACTGAACGAATTTGGGTCGACAGTCCGAAAGCTGATCGATCGCCTGTTGGAGGAGCAATAAAAAGAAGGTATGCTTCTGTAACCATCCATAGCTGTAGACTCTCGTCTTGCTCTGGTAGTTCACCGGCGTATCATTCCGCTATCTTTACTGGTTGTTTGGAATCGTTATTTTTGCCCTCTGACGCCAGCACTCCCTTTCCGCTCATGGTTCCTCATTGGATATGTTTTTATTGGCTTTACTTGTCCGCACGCTTTCCGTATCATGATTGGCTTTCACGATTGTGGTTCATAGCCGATTGTCTTCTCACTACCGTTAGTGGGTGGAAACAGTCGCAAAGCTCCGACACAACATCGATGTCGACCGAGCGGCAACGTCTACTCACGTGAGCGAGAATCGCCTTGTGATTCCACATGATCGATTGGGTCGATCGCTAAATAGGCTGTTTCCGCCAGAAGCGACCAATCAAGGAACACCAAATCGAAATCACTCAGCCGAGCGTAGATTGCCCATAAATACGCTGGCATCTGATCAAAGATCTGCTGATCGCAGCCCAGTTCCACCAGTTTGTAGCGCGAAAATTCAAATTCAAATAATAGACGAGAAAAGAATAATTTCCTTACTACAATGTTTTGTTGATCCATTTCCAGCAATAAGCAATTATAGCATGTTACTCTATTGAATTTCCACCTTTAAAATTGTTCAGTATACAGTTAATTATGGTAACACAATTTGCCGTGTGAACGAAAATGATTGCCCCATTACGATGGATGAAAAACAATAGAAGCGTACGGTTGCCATAGTGAAAGATGTGGGTGTATATGACTGTAAACCAATTACTAAGCGTATATGCCGCGCTTTCACAGCCGTCACTTAGGAATTACGACCGAAAACAAAGAGTTATCCTTTATATATAAAATCTTAGAAATCTTGACTGAATCACGGGGAATGCTGATCATCAACCACCCAAAAATTTCCATTTATTAGAATGAATCAAGGGAGGCACTTTGTCGCTATCATGTAATGTTTGAGCCTGATGAGAATTATCGAAAAGAATTCTGTACTCAGATTCTGCCTCCCTTGTTTCATTCTAATAAATCTGAGAACTCGTTCATTAAAACAAAACGACGTGTTTTCGGAGACTTGAAGACAAATTAAGACACTAAGCTGTTGCCCAAATTTTAAATGTTTGTTAAATTTGTTTTCACAACAATAGTTTTATGAAGTCCCTTTCATAGGTCCATTTGAAATACAGATGGGTGGCACACTACCGTATTTTTTTCTCGGAGGACGCTACACGGCACACCACCAGAAACTCCGAAAATAAGTAATCTGATTGCACTTGGTGGACCAGATCATCATTGGGTTGTCTAAATTTGCTTCCGTGCTACCTAATGATAGCAGTTTCCGACTTTGTGCTACAGTTTTCGGTTGAGTGCAGCAAGTCGGACGGAAGTTGCAATCTGTTACAAGTGAAGACATTGTTTCCATCTCTAACCGGATTTCACTTTAACTGTGGATAGCATGCTAATCGACATAAAGGTCGTCTTCGGCGAACTCACCGGTAATTTAGTGCTTGTTGCTGTACATTACGGCCGCGGAGGAATCGGAGCAAAACTTGCCGCGACCACCGCTGATATCTTCACCAAAATCTTTTACGTGTCGCAGTTCAAGACACACGGTGGGTGCTTTAAAACTCAAAAATCTACAACCCTTACACCTGTTGCTGATAACGACCGTTCTTGGTACCACGCGGTCTGATAAGGGTGTGCGTCAGAAATAAAAATGAGCTATTCCTTTCACACCATACTGCCTCCAACCCAATCGAAGGAAAAGCACAGGGGGTATCTTGAGCACAAAGCGAGTGGCGTAGGTAGGAGGGCCCTTCTCTGAGAGCAAACCAGTCGGTTGTCGCATAAGAGACGAACGCTAGTGGCGTTTTATTAATGTAAATTGTTCCTGCAACAAATGCCGAAATTTATGTGTGAAATAGGCGTTTTTCGCCTGTTTAGACGGTCTACTATCGATCGAAAACTCGATGTCACGGACCCAACATGAAAGAGCAAAGACCGTTTTCGGACGAACAGAGAGGAAACGGGTTGTATTGGCTAGTCATGCCGTCCGTCATAAAGGTCAAAGCGAACAATCGGATCGGTATAAAACTCACGTAGAAACCTTTAAAAATGTTTGCTCATGAGCAACCAAGCAATACCACTCTTGTGTTAACTGGCCTGTGTACCCAGTTGGCTCTCTGCTCGTCCAATCCATGTGGAAGAGTGTGGCTTATCGGCCATGCTTTGGCTCCATATAAGTGATGGATGCCTCGGTTTTACGCCTAGCGAGTTCCTTCCAGGAAATATACTTCTGGCTAATCTGCCAGAATAGCATGGGAAGTGAAAGGAGCCGCCAAGATACGGCGACGTATAACCAATTGTCGTCCTCCTTCGATTAAGGGATTTTGGTAGACCTCTAGTGAACATGAAATATCTGCGCATTCAGTATTTTGTGACAATGGGTTTTATTCTTGTTTGTATCTTCTGATCGTTCATTTGTTTTACGGATGGTACATCTATTTCACTTTCGAATTCTCTGTTAATCGTGCGCGCCTTGCTCCGTGCTTTTGATGATTTACTTCCAGTTCATTACAGCTTTGTACAATACACGTTAGGTTCGGCAACGTTCTCACTTCTGAATAGTTGGTATCCGTATTGGTTCTTACTGGTTCTTGTCTCAAGCCATACCTGAGTTCCGCTCAACAGACATCGGCTAGATGTGCTATGCCTTCTTCACCTTCACCAAATCCAGGAAACTGCAACCTGGCCCCGTACTCGCATGCACAGAACCTATGGTAAAATAGTCCTATGCTGAGTCGATATTTCTCTTAGTAATACCATCCAACTTATGAAGACATTCAAACCATTTTCCAGATGAATTTACGATGAAGTCCTCACCGGATATAAAACGTGGAAGTCTGATGTCTTCCCTGCGTGGGAGACTTGTGAGCACCTACCGATCGTCCAGCTTCTTGTACCGGTAAGCGAACCAGAGCCCCGGCACTTCGACTTTTGATCGCCTCTCCTTGCCTCTGCAAAAAGAAATGAAGCAAAAGCGAGAGCAATCTTTGCTTTTACAAGGTTGACAAGATCACTTTGTGTTAACTTTCTGCGTTCATTGGAAGTATTTCGTGGAAATTGAGCTACAATTCAGTTTCATTTCCGATTCTGAAATTTCCGACCAGAAATACTTGTATTTCATCGTTTGGTTTCGGCGATCTTGCTATCGCCACTTTCTTCGTCAATTGGCCGCCATCTTGTTTTCGGATTATTCGCAATGCCGAAGCAGTCATCCTGTGGTACTTGCTCCAAACTAGTCGGATACCGTGCAAATGCCCTCACGTGTGCATTTTGCCAAGTTAAATACCATATTTCATGTGTTGGATTATCAGTTGAGCATTTTCATCGCCTTCGCGAGATCCAACACGATTTCGTCCAAACTATATGTGAAAATTGCCGAAATCAGATACAGCCAGAAAGAGTAAAGCCGACGTGTAGTCCTCAGCGTTTCGTTGCGAACAGCTCCGTGTGTTTGGCCCAACAACCTAGCGCGAAGAGATTTCAGGTTTCGGCTCAGTCGTCCTCCTCCTCTACCCGTGCAAACTCACTGACACGAAGTCCAACCGTTGTGAGAAGCCCAGTTGCACCTGGGCTAAATTGTTTACCTTTGTTGTGTCCACCGGACACTGATGTCCCAGCAGGTGAAAGTCTGAGTGCTGAAGACCAGTGGAAAGATCAGAGGACGAAATTACGAAGGAACGTTGGGCGTTTACGTTCTGTAAGTCAACAGTTAGCCAAACCACGTGAGGCTGGTAGTATACTTCGCCCTGCAAGGCCAACCTCGTCCGACCAGAGGCGTTATAATCTCGTGATCTTTCACGCACCGGAGTCCAGTGATCCATCACCCCAAGTGCGCTACGATCACGATGTCGAGTTTTTACAGGGTCTAATTGATAGACTCTTCGACGCTGGTGAGGACTCGGTAAAAGTGAGGCAGATTACCCGTCTTGGAAAGCAAGGTGATCAACAAAATCGGCCTATGAGAATCACTTT